TATAAGCACTGAGCACAGTGTTAAACACATAGTAGATGCTTGATAAATGCTTTTTTCTTTCTTTCCTTCTTACTTTTTCAGGATGCCCTCCATTGCAGGGAATAACTACACAGCCTTCTTTTGGTTCTACCACTGGTACTAGACTTCCATTATCACCTTTATGGTCAGGCAACCAAGTGCTCCTCTTAATAGCAGGCAGGTTAAAACAATTGGATATGGGGGTAGTTGTCCACCTGAGAACAATGCCTCCAATTTAGGAGATATGTGTCCTTATTTGACAAAGATGAGTTGCTGATGTTGCTAAGTTGTAAGGCAGGAACTTAACTTCTGAAGAATCCCATTTCAAAATCTAGTGAGAAAAAACAGATAGCTAAAGAGAAAATGTCACTTGGTTCACGAGGGGACTGAAAACCAGGTAACTTGAAGGAGGATTACAAGAATTGTGGATGAGCTTGAGAAGAGAAGGCTTGGTGGGTGGGTTGGGGTGGAGGGAGTAGGAATTATCTCCAAGTATTTGAGGAATGGTGAGGGTAAGACAGGGAATAGACTGGTTCTGCTTGGCTCCAGAGAGCAAACCTAGGAACAATGGAGGGGGGGAGGGGAAATGGTAGATTGTAAAGAGGTAAATTTGGGTTTAAGACAAGGAAAAACTCATAATCTGAGGTGCTTTAAGTGGAATGGGCTGAATCAGGAAGTTAATGGGTTCCCTCTCACTGAAGCCCTTCAGTAGAAGTACCTCTTGTCAAGTATACTGCTGAAGAGAGCTCAGTACAATGCCCGGAACATAGTAGGTGCTTGTTAACTGAGATTTTTGTTCTGGTTCAGGATAGAACAGAATTACTTCTGACATCTCCCCCAGTTCTGAGATTTTATATCCTCTATACCCTTTCTCCTTAACTTCTCCATGATTTCTAGAGGATTTTCCTACATAGCATCATCTTTCAGTTGATAGTTACTGAGTTAGTCAAGTCAACAAGTATTTATTAAGCACCTACTATGTGTTAGGATGGAGCATTGGGCTTGGAATCAGGGAAACTTCTCTTCCTGAGTTCAAATCCAAACTCAGACACTTACTAGCGGTGTGACCCTGGGCAAGTCACTTAACCTGTTTGCCTCAGTTTCCTCATCTGTAAAATGAGCTAGAGAAGGAAACAACACGACTCCAGTACCTTTGCCAAGAAAACCCCAAATGAGAAAATGAAGAATTGGACACAACTGAAACGGCTCAACAATAATATTGTGTTAAGTAGTGAGGACACAAAGAAAGGAAATGAAAAGCATCCTTGTTCTCAAGGAACTTATAGACTGAGGCAGGAGACAAAGTGCAAACAACTATACATAAACAAGATATACACAGGATAAACTGGAGGTCATTTCAGGTGGAAGGTACTATGAGTAAGAACAACTGGAAAAGGCTTGTTGCAGAAGGTTCCAGGTTAGCTGACACTTGAAGCCAGGAAGGAAAGAGGAGGAGAGAGGGGCATGGAGTACAACTATTGAAAATTCTTGGAGTCTAGCGATAAGTCATATGAGAGGAACAGCAAAGAGGCGAGTTTTACTGTATTTCAGAGTATGTAGAGGGGAGTAAGGTGTAGGAAGACAGGAAAGGTTGAAAGAGGCCAGGTTATGAAAGGCTTTAAATAAGACAAAAGGGGATTTTATATTTGATCCTATTATATTATGTATATTAATATAATATATATTATATTAAATGGTAGGGGGGTGGGGAGTGACTTGGTCAGACCTATGCTTTAGGAAGACCAATTTGACAGCTGAGTTGAAGGTGGAATGAAGTGGGGAGATATGGGCAGGAGATAGGCAGTGACTATCTCTCAAATTCATTTTTATGAAGTAACCAATAAGCACCTAATAAATGCATTGTATAGAATTCTTGACAGGATGAAGGGAAGATGGTAGTCACGAGAATCATCAGTCTTCAAGCTATCTTATCATTAAGGCCCATTCTGTTTCTAAACCCTACTCAAGAGAAATTACAGGGCTTCTAGTAAAGGTGAAGATACAAAAGCTTTTTCAGCTAAAGAATTAAGCCATGATATAACTCATGAACATATACGATAGTCAAATAAAACAGACAATGGTATTGTTTTAAATAATATATCCATCCTCATTCACCCATGTGTGAAAGTAATACTGCTATATTGAAAGCAAAGTGTCAGTTTAGATATCCAGAACTGAAAATTAGTCACCAATGCCAAGATTTTTGAATTATTGGCCAATTACACATGCTAAACTTGATAGATATTTTTTCCCCAATTGGTATATACAAGCTAGCCAATCTCCCCCTTTCCAGAAGCCATGTGGACTGTACTATGGAAATAGGGGGGAAAACCTCAAGCTCCAGCCTATTTTCACTGCTCCAATGGGATTGCCTTTTTTCTCTTCCCTCCAAGTGCCCTGGCAATTTAATGCCCTATGTTAACTTTCCCAGTTAAAATTTTCAAGCATACTGATCAAAATTAAAAGCAATAAAATCTTCCTTTCAACTTGTAACAGCTCACATTTATGTCCCTTTTTAAGGTTTGGAAAGTCTATTTGCATGCATTATCTTATTTGATCTTCACAAAAGGTGCTATAATCTCCATTTTATAGATGAGGAAACTGAGGCTGAGAGGTTAAGTGACTTGCCTAGGGTCATAGTTTCAGAGGTAATATTTGAACCCAGGTCTTTGACTCCACACAGCACTTCGTTGACTAGTCTTTGGGTGACAAAGACTATAAAGAGCTGCTTTTGACATCTTTTTGAGATTTCTTCCCACTTTCCCTCTTCCCCCAACTTTTCTTCCTTACTTTACTTTTTCCCATTTCCTAGTTCCACTGGGATGTTGAGTTATGGAAGAGTTCAGGGTAACACTGAAAGTCAAGCAAGGTACACTAGGTGAAGAAAAAACCCTTGGATGAAGTTTTAGAGAGGTGTGATGGAGAATGGTGGCAAAGAAAGGGATGAGTGAGGCAGGGGAATTTTTCAGGACTGTGAGAGCTGATAAAAAGGGCAAGTGCTTCAATAATTCTTAGCAACTATGAAAGGATTTTATAATGCTTTCCTGAAAAGCCTCCTCTTTAGTCAAATAAGTCATAACAGGCTATGGTTAAAAAAAATCACAGAAGGAAGAAAGTTTTGGGAGATTCTTAAAAATTGTTTTATACCCCCCCCATTACCAGGAAAGAGAGACCTAATGCCCTAATTTATACTGGCAATCTCAGTGGAGCATGTGTACTTCAAAGCTTGGCAGTGAGCATAAAGCCTCACTTCTTACCTTTTGGGTAGAATTGCAAAACCAGGCTTTACTGGTCCTAGTTGTTCCCTAGATGTGGATGATTGAGTAGTATTCAATGAATGAATGATTCAGCCAAGAAAAAGAGGGTAAGGAAGAAGTATTTCTATTCCTACCCCCTACCTTCAGAATTCACAATAAAGGGAGAGGCTTATGACAACTTTTTTTTGAAAAATAGATTTTTATTTAATCATAAGGATGATTAAAAGGGTTAGAGGCTAAAAGCTCTTATCTACAGATCAGCAGCACTGTACGTTTCCCAAGTGGGGCTATCTAAAGCTTCCAATGTGTGACAATGTGGTTTTCCCAGACTGGACTCAGTTTCCAAAAAGAATTATAGAATTTAGATATCCTAGAGTATAGGGACTAAACAGGGCTTCTTAACATGGAGTCCATGAATGTTTTATTTTTCAACATTTTGATAACCATATTCCAACATAATTGGTTGCCTTTTTAATCCTATGTATTTTATATACTTAACATTCTTCTGAGAAGAGGTCCATATGCTTCATCAGACTGACAAAGGGGTCCATGACATAAAAAAAGGTTAAGAATCCCTAGAATAAAAGATTAATGTTTGCTATAGGCCATGAATTAGGAGATGATTTCTCTTCTGCAGATATAGATTGCACACATCCATAGATGTCATGGATGACTTTCAACACAAGAATATGCAGATCAAGGTCAATTCTGAATCATCATATCTGTTATACTGGAAGACAATAGCTCCTGTTTGACTCTGTTCTCTTATCACTGCTTTCCTGCAAAGTCCCCCAACCCTGCCCCCAAATTCCCAGATCTGTATGCCAGATAGCTAGTATTTTTTATGATCAATTCCCATGGTAAAGGCATGAGTAAACATACAAGACACAACTTTATAGCTGGATGTGACATTAGAGATCATCTAATCATCCCTCAAAATTTATCTCTGGGGAAACTTTGTTTTTAAATTCTTCATCTAATAACTTGCTTATGCTATACAGAATTCCCCAAATAGCCTAATAACATCCTCCAGGTGTGAAACAGTGCTAGCTCAGCAAAAAGCTAAACAAATGCTAACATATCACCACCGATGTTACAGTCCTGGAATGCTGCCATGGTTGGAAGTAAACCTAGAGACAGGCATTCTCTTGCTTGGGCACTAAATGTAAAACACTAACAAAACATTACAAATTGACAACTTATATCCCCAGTGAAAAAAGGCATATAGCAGAGCTCAACAGATATTCTGGTAGTGATTTTATTAGCCAATCACCCCAAATTAATGTCATTATTCATAACTTGTTAGTTTTTATGTTCATCTGTAGCAGTCAATCATCTTTGAGCCAACCTGAGCTATAGGTGTTTTACACCTTGGATATTCAGGGACCACTAAGTAGGCACTGTCGACGGCCAACGAGAATAAATAGCTCAGGCAAAAGTTTGGCAAGAAGGAAGAGGTCTGATCTTTCCTCTGCAAAATCCTATCTAAAACAAAACCCATTTCCAAATCATTTAGCCAGTGGTTCCCACCAGCTCCCCTAAACACACTTTGTCTTCAACTTGATCCTTTCTAAACATTGCAGAGTTGCTACTTAATACTTCGTAGAGTTTTGAAAAATAGATGCAACCTAAGGTTAAAGCAATTTAATTTATTCTAGCAATCCCCCAGTTGCAACTTTTATATTCATCTGTTCTCTTCCCACCCTCCCCCCCAAAGAGACCCTCCTAACTCCAGTGTTCAGCTTCTGACCTTTCCTGTAACAAAATCCTAAAGACAGAACAGGCTTTCCTTTGAGACTGATATCACATTCTCATTTTACCAAAGCCCTGCCCAAGATCACATTGCTAATCAGTGACAGTGCCAACATTAGAACCCAAGTCTACCGACTTCCTAGTTTAAAGCTCTTTCAAACAGTGGTTTAAAAAGGTCCTGTTTGTGATGTGTACTTAGAAATTGAACATCACCTCATTAAAAGAATTTGGTACTAGGGAGAAGTAACTGTGTTTGATCACATTATCTCTTGTGTCTGAAAGCAGGCACCATAGACAGGAAATGTAAGCCAACTGGCTAGTATGCTTAAGATAGGAACTCTAGGTTAGATCTGTCCACAGCTTATTGCTTCCTGCTTTTTGTGGCCTCCAGAAGAGTGTGAGCTAAGAGCCTAGACCCAGGCTGACACTTGCACATTCTTTTCAAGAGCCTGAGGGGAGAAAGACCTAGGCTTCAACACTAACCACTGAAGCTATGCCATCATTCCAGATTTTATTGATGCCTCTGACTCACTATATTGGTCAGGTTGATCCAAGATATAACAATCTTCCTCCTCTTATCTAACTCAGTTGTATAAGTGTTGGACAGTTGGCTACCACTCACTATATCTGCATCGGCAGGGTGACCTGGTGGGGAACCCTCTACTTCACAGCACAGAGTTCTAAACTCTCTTCTACCTTCATTCCCTAAAGTGACCCATTTTCTCTATGATACCAATATATACTTCCACAAAAAGAAACTTGAAATACCTTACATAAGCAGGGATACCTAAAGTTGGAAGAAAATGCTAAAATAAATAATGAATTTGCAAGTGATGACACTGAACAGTAATCAAGAAATTCAGCATCTTAGAATAAGTTGGCTTTCTTCCAATTTGGGGGGTTACCACAGCAATTGCAATCAATCTGTGTGTGTGTGTACATAAATGTACATATATATACCTAAATGTACATAAGTGCATATACACACATACATATGAGGTGCTACAGTAAGACATTCAGGCTGATTTTAGCTTTAGAATAAGATGAAGTTATTATATAGAGTTTCATTGATAGCTTTTCAAGTTAATCCTGTTTTCCTGCCTTGTAACACCCTGTAAGGCATCACTGGCTACATATGTTTCTTCAGGTTGTTTAGTAGAGTGAAAGATACTAAACTGATCTCCTGACTTCACATTCTTCTCATAAAAGCTTTTTAATGTTGTGTTTTGTATGGTGTTTAAACATTTAATGGCATTCTTTTGCTCACTGGTTCTTAGTTAGAATTTGCTATTTCTGATAATTATTGAAAATATATTTAAAAAGAATTGTATATGGACTTTCCATAAGACCTGAGAATGTTAACTTGAGAACTAGATTAAGTAAAGAATTTTCTAAAATTTTCTACAATTTTCTAAGCACAAAACAATTCAGGTGAACTGGTGGGAGTTAAGAGATCTAAAGTAATACTTTTTAGAATAAACTTTAAAACATAAACCCCTGCCAATTTGATCCCTTAAGGCAGGGAGCAAAGTCAAATCCAGCCCACCCTTGTTTTTATATGGCTCCAGAGCTAAAAATAGTTTTTACATTTTTGAAGTAAAGCATCATTGTACTTAAAAATGTAAAAGCCATTTTTAGCTGTGGGCTGGATTTGGCCAGAGAGTCATAGTTGGCCAAGCCCTGTCTTTACAAAGGCAAGCCATTAAGGAACTTATCAGGTAGTTCTTACTCATTTGCTCAATATATTACAAGCAGCTCTTGCTATTTATTTTGGGTCTGAACTTGAACGAACAAGGAACTTTAGCGTTATAAAATAACTTGACATGTGAATACTGTAATTTAAGAGGTTTCCAGTTAGAAAAAAGTCCTCTAGTAAGGCTAAATAATTTCATAGAACTTGAAAAGTTATTTATTATAAACTGTACTCAGTTTTATCTTCTTGATATTTCTATACCACCTTCCCACCACCTGCTATGCTTACCTGCAGACACAATTACTTTTAAGATTCACCTTTAAGGTAAGACTTTAAGGTAATAAATTTACAATACAATCTAAAGTCAAATGTAAATTGTTTTGGATTAGTACCAAGGTTCACTTTCATTAAATGTGGATAATGGAGAGTCTACCTTTTATGAAGTATGCAAACAAGGGACCAACATGGAACATTTAGAAGTCTTTGTAGAACATTCCTCTCCCTATTTATCTTAGTTTTAGAACATACACACTATGGCCAAGGCCCAGTTTACCTAGCTTTTCAGCTATGAGGTACATCTAGCAATGCTGGAAATACGGCCTACTCTACTAATTTTGGATCTGAATTTGAACGAACATTTAATATTTAAAATAACCCAAAATGTGAGAAGGAACTTGATATGAATGTAATGTATTGTTGGAAGTTAGTTGTCCAGTGTTAATCCTTCTCATTAGGCAGGCAGTAAGAGTAATCTACTCCACTTTCTTAATTCTTTTTATAATCTAGTAACAAATGAGGTATTTTAATAGATTGTAGTAGATAAAAGGGTAGCCTTTAACTATACCAAATTAGCTGCACTGTTTAGTAAAACAACTTATTCACTCATGACCACAGTTGCCAAAATGCATTTATTTAAGCCTTTTGGGAAATTATAAATTATCCAAGTTTAATGAGTAACTTGTCATTTTTTAGTTTCAGCTCTAGCTAAGCAAATGGTCATGTGAGTATCCTTCTTTAAGACCAAGACATTAATGGGATCTTGGTTACATTATATAGAGGTTAGAGTTTGAGAAAAGACTTAATGCTTCATTTTCTTCTCAATTGTTAAGCATTAGGTCATGATCCTTAAACAGCTCAAGACTATTTAATTACTACATCTTTTATCTTCATATATTTGACAAGTTTTCTTACTTCACCTCCATTTCCCTAATATTAGTGTCATGTTATCAAATCAATAAAGACATTTAAGATCAATGAGCTGTTTCTCTATTCTACCTTGTTATATCAAGAAAAGTTTATTCATGCTTAGATCCTTCTCTGTCCTGGACTTCCAAGATCTGATCACTTCTTGGTTTTTAGCCTATTCTGGATTTCTTCAATACCATATACATTGACAATCCATTAAAAAAAAATGCCCACTGCACTTCCATTTCCTACCCATATCTCTGGGCCGTGATTTTTACTATGCCATGACTCTAGAAAGAGTCCTCTGCTCCCGTGGATACAGTCTATGCATGGATTCCATGCAAAACTAGTTGTATATTTGAAGCTTAGCCTTTTAGGATAAGGCAGAACATTATGCGTAAATAAAGACAGGAGACTTCAGATTGCAAATTCAAACATCTCACCATCATTTTTCATGACCTAGGGGATGGACTTTGACTTCCATTCTGCTGACTTTGTTTCTCCCAACTACGTCTTTGAGAAAACCCTCTGTAACTCATCCTGATCAACAGTGGCTCCCTAATTAGTCACTACCAAAATGAAATCCTACTTCTATAAAGCTTTAGAAAAGCAGACTATACTCACCTTATCCAAGTCGGTCAAATAGTTTCTGTAATTCTTGCCTGGTCGATGAAATAGTTCCCCCACCCCAATGCAAAATATCCTTCATTTTGACTCCCTGGAATTTTTAAGCATGTGGGAAAATATAACCATTCCTAGGAAATAAGCATAGGTTTGATCAGATATCACTAATGATAAAGGGACTAAAGCAGGAACATTCTCCAGAAAGGATGCTAACAAAAACCATTAGCTGATAGTATAAAGAACTCACTTTTTGGTACCCTAGTCCTAGAATGTTAATAGGCCAAAATCACTTCCAAGAAGAACTTGGTAGGTTTTTTTGGTGATCTCACTTCTACCCCTCTCCCTACTCCACCAGTCCCATGATTTTTTTTAATAAAAACATTAAGCTAACAGGATTCAGTCCAGGGCCATAAGACATTAAAGTCTATAGGCTACTGCATCATCTCATAGTAACTAAACCTTAAAGCTTAGTATATTTGGGAAAGCATAAACAAAGTCCAAGTAATGTCACTTGAAGTGCTGATACATGAAATGCACTCCTGCCCTATAGGAATAGGCACAAGCCATTGATAAGCTGCTTGGTTTAATTTTTAGCACGTGGAAAAAAATTGTACAGTGGTTTGCTGAACACTCGCCCTCTGCAAGCCTCCATGGAGGTCACAAAGATTTCACTCAAACATACAAAATTAGTTTACAAATTTTTTTTTTTGGCAATTTCATCTTAGTAACCCGTTTTCTCCTATTGCCATTGCCCCAACCATTGAAAAAAAAAGTTTACAATAATTTACATAGAAATATTTTCAAAGTGCTTAAGAATAGTGATTGTTCTTCGGGATATTTACAGATGGCCTATACAAGTTATGTACAGGTTGTGTACTATATAGCACAAGTTTCATTGCTGGAATATGGCTTTCTATGGAAAGTGCATATTTGGCCATTGGTGGCAATACTGTCTAAAAAATTCAAGGGTTACAGATATTTGGTAACTACATCCAGAGCTGAACTAAACTGTGGACAAGAATATTTACAAAAAAAGTAGAATATAAAAAGGTCGAGTACACAAGCTTGCTCCACACAAATAATATGATCACATTCTTCCAGGTGGTAGGAAGAGAACTGTTTTTTTTTCAGCCACTGGTTTGGTTACCATCCAAAAAAAAAGTTTAGGACTTAGTGTAGATTGAAAGGGCTGTCTCTTGTTCAAATATTCAAGCTAGGTCATCATCTGTGCTTACAACCGATATCTGAAAGGAAAGGGAAAAAAAGGTTACTTACTGGGTATCCTAGTAAGTCTATACATTACAGACTGTACTTTGTTTGTGGAAAACTTGCTCCCCCCTCTTTCTCCAAATGGAAAATAAAGCAGAGAAGGAACAGATGAAACTAGCAAGTGTTTAAAAGTAGCGTGAGGCACCTGACTCAAACTCTAAGCATTATGATGAAATTACAAGTTAACTGTAGTTTCTGATAGAAATGGGGCATAAAAACTTGGTCAGACTAATGCTCTTTGCTACTTATGTGGTGACTGGTCATAAAATAGCATATAGTAATTAGTTATTTCATGCTAGAACTCTCTGCTAAGACAGCTACTGTGAAGGATGGATCAAATTGAACACATTTAATTATTAATATATACATATATAAAATACATATTTACACATACATGCATGTATTCATACATATATGTTGAAATACTTACAAAATGTGACTAGTTCTCACTTTCCAAGAGTATTGAGAGAATATTGTCGTATGTACACCCACGCGTATGTATGCACATGCATGTATGGAGGGAGATGGAGGAGGAGGGAGAGCTCACGTTGTGAGCTATGGCTTTTAAGCACAGTTAGGAAGCAGCTACAAGTTTACTCACTGCTGGATAAGTGTGTCCAACAGAAGTGCTATGTCTTCCAATATCTATAGTGAGATCTTCTTCTGTGGTTTTCAAGTAGACAGGATTGTCAAAATTCATGCTTTTCATGTTCTTGTGTTGCCAATTCCTCCACATAAAGTAACCACCAGCTGCAGCCATAGCCAAGAGCACTAGAAACCCAATAGTAGCTTAGTAAGTGCACAGTAGGGGAAGGAAATATACATTTATATAGCACCTACTACGTGCCAGGCACTGTGCTAAACTATATACACATACTTATGTGTGTGTATATGCATATATACATACACACAATCACACACAGATACACACACGTGTGTACACATACGTGGTATATACAACACACATTAATTCAATACACTTTGTAACGTGAAGATTGAGGCACATGTTCTGTGCTAGTAAAGAAATACGAATTTATGGAAAACTGGCTAATGGGTTTACAATGTGCTTTATATATATACACACACTTATTTGTGTAAAGGTATGTTAGACCACAAAGGCAAGTTAGCAAGTTATAGAAATGAACAGTTTGGTGGTATTTCCAGTACAAAAGCACTCATTGCAGAAATGTTGTGAGGAGGTCTAATTTGTCTCCAATCTTTTAACATACTCAATTTGTACTGTATTTGTTGCAGGTTATGGTAGTCATGTAACTTACAGACAGGAAGGATGGCCCAGGCAGCTGAAGTTCCTCCTGGAGAAACATTTACTTCTGATATTGCAGTAGTCACATTGATTCCTACAAAAGGAAATTACATCTATGATGCTATTATATCAATTCAGATGATTTGAGACTTTTGTGCACTAAATTGAAAGTAATTCAGAGATTGGTTTGAGAATTAAAAACAATTGCGATAACTATGTCTATCATTATTTATTACATAAAGGAAGGATTAAAGCTTTAACATCCCAAATTTCAGTCAATAAATATTTATTAAGCACTTCTTATATGCCAGGTACTATGCTAAGTGCTGGAGATATAAAGAGAGGCAAAAGATAGTCCTTGACTTTAAGGAGCTCACAACCTAAAGGTATCTAATATATACTTTGTTTTAGACCAGCGATTTTCTTCAGGACTTTCAAGAACCTCTAGGGTCTAGAAGCAGAGGGAAAAATTGTCCTTTATGCCTTGCCAATTGGTTTTTAGTTAATATTTGTTAAACATCGTTTTTAATAATTTTTGGATATATTATATGTAGTTAGGCTTTCTGCAAAAGTTTATAGCCATTAGCCACTAACATAGAAGAAAGGTGGTTCTTTATCACTGGACAACAGTAATTTCTCAATGCCCTTGCAAATGAAGAGTGGTGAGAAAAAGTCATACTTTGTAGCTATTTCTATTTATCTTAGATTAAAGATCATTTTGTGTTATTCAGCCCCAAACTTCCAACAATCAGTCTACCAGTTAGTGACTTAGGTTGTACTGTGGATCTTTGTTCTCATTCTATTTCATAGTTCTTCAAAGTCATTATAAACCTGGTTAACCCAGGTCTTAAAATGATTTAATGGTAGACAAGCAATACAAGCAAGTTATTTTTCCACTTTTTCATATTAAGTCCAGTTTACTTCTGTAGGAGGAGGTCACAGCAATGTAAGTCACACGATAACATCTAGTCATTGGCTGTTTAAAAGGGTCTGGATATAGACTATTCGGCAAGGTCAAAGTCTGAAGTACCAAGGACCCTTCATTGAGAGGAAAGCCTAATATCAGACAAGTTCAAAAAGTTAGGGCTTTGCCCAGTATTCTAGACCATTTTAGAACTGCCAGGAGTTTGTGGTTAAATTAAGTATGAACATACTTATTTTCTACTGGAGGTCACACACATCCTCTAAGCAGAGATCCTCAGAACAATCACAGTTTATGTCTTACAAATATTTGGCTCTACTCTTTGCTTCTACTTATTGGCAAAGAGGTATCACTGTGACCACTAGGTCATAAGGAAGTCTTTGACAAATGAAGATTTAAATAGTGTTTCCAGGTGAGCTTGTCAATCTGGAATGGTCCAGGCATAATCAATAATTCATTAGCAGGATTTTGCTGAAGTAGTAAAATGATCATCTTAATACTGTACCATTTCTCTAACAATAGTTCACTTGAAATCAGAGCCGACTGGAGAGCTTCAAATCTTAGTTTGCGATAAGGTCATTTACTGAGATATCAATATGGCTGTTAAGAATTTAGGTGAATCAGGACAACACAAATTCTTTGTTTGTTAGATCACATATCCTTAACACTTTTGTTTAGTAATCTACAGGTTAGAAAACATTTATACAATTATGATTCACCAAAATGGCGAATTTAAAGAAGTTATATACTTGAGACTTGCTTGGATTCCAGAGCCACACTCCCCTAATGGATCCTAACAGATATTTATACAGGGCTTTTCCTGTTTGCAAAGTACATAATTTATGTTCTCACCTGAACCTCATACAATAGGCATTACTTATGAGTCCTTTGTAAAGACAAAGGCTCTTAAATATCGTGTACTTTTTAAAAATGAGTTAGGGTTTTACTGTATCCATAACCTAGCAAATTCCCTGAAAACTTGAACATTATGTGAAGGTTTTTTTTTTTTTCTGGTGCTTTTTGCAGGGTGAACAGGACAATCATACCAAGTATTCACCTGAGCAGGAACACCAATTTTCAAATAAAGGAAAACTCACTTCTACATGCCCTGCCATCACCTTCCAGATTATACCCACTGGGACAGGAACAGGCATATTTTGGAGAGTGATCATTGATCTGTGGTGCTGGTAGACATAGGTACTCACAGCCTCCATTTTCAATGTCTTCTTCACACCAGTTTTTACCTATTGGAAGACAAGATAATCCTTTTTAAGTGGTTACCTCTAAGAAATTTTTTAGTTTACCTTTTGAATCTCAATCTACCAACAGTTTACAGTCATGTAAGCCATACACTAACACTACTATATTAATATATGCTATTAAGTGCACTTCCTAGAAAAAGTGCTTCAGACTTATCAGAATATTGATTTTTGTGTGGCACAAAGGCAATATAGCAGAAGCAGACTGCATAGAAAGTCTATTTGGATGTCAGCAAAATTAGGAGACAAACTTCTGGTCTGCCTCCAGTATCAGATTATCCCAATACTGGTTTTGTTGTGGCAATTAAAAGACATTACTTATCAAGAGGTTACCTGCTGGTTGTACGAGTTCATGGTATACAATTATATCTTGAGCATCATTGAGGTTGTTAACCAGAGTAGCCAATTCTGATCCTGTGAATTTGTTGGCACCATAGACTGCTTCATTCTCACCATCTATCCAATAGACACGGTCCTATAATAGGATTAAAATTGGTATCATCTGCAGGACATATTGCATAGAATAATTAAAAATTTTAAGAGCTTGGGGCTGAGTAGTACTTAATCAGTAAACCTTATTCACAGTCAGAACTAACCCAACACTTTCATAAGAGTTAAACTATAGAAAAAATAATGTTCTCTATATCATGCTGTGGCAAGTTTGTACTACTGAAATAGATATTAATTCGAGAAATGACCAACCCTTGAATGAAAACTAAAATCCTGCAATTCTTTAGGCATATATTATGTTCAGTTCAATTTTGATAAAGATTAGATAAGATTAATATGTGTTTGAATTGAAGTTGACTCTTATGCCAGGATTTCAAAGGAGAAGTCAAGAAAAGAATTGTCTCAAATCCAAGAAACCATGCTCCCCAGCCCCTGCTCCCCCATCATTTAGAATAGGGGTAAAAACAGAAATAACTTGTGAGTCTATACCCTTGAGCCAAGAGTCAAAATACTTTGAATCCTACCTCAAACATTGTGACAGCAAGAGGATGAGCCAGAAACTCTAGAGACTTGAGTACTATTCTACGATCTTGACCATTCAAATCTACACTGGACAGCATGTGCAGTTTAGAATCGAGCCAATAGAGACGGCTTTTTACAAGATCTAGGTAGGAAAAATGAGTTCCATTGTTAGCAAATGCATTCAACATAAGATGAGCCTAGAATACCCATGGTAGTTTAATGTAACTCATCCCAAAGAATATTCATCTGAAATTTACATGTATCTAAATAGTTTCTTCTATAATGCTTTTTATAATTTTGAGGAAAACAAGAAAAAAGTGCCGTTAAATGAAACAGTTTACTTTGCCATTTATACTTGGAAAAGTAGAGTACCAACATACCATGTCAGCTATGGTACTGTTCCCAGTATTGCTAACTTTCGATCTAAAATCTAGAAGGGATGAAGGTACACAAAGGTTTCTTGTTTATACAACTGCCAACATTCTATACCTAAAAAACTAGCAATATACCAATATGATTAGGACAACTCTTCTCAGGTCAAATTTGTCTTAACCTGAAAGTTTTAATTCTAGTCCAGATTTGACAGAGAACAACATCTTTATGAAGACAGATCTGTTTTGGTGTGCTGTACCTTAGTTTTAGTATCTTGTATCAAAGAGTTAAATAAAAACCCAAGAGGCATACCAAGTGTAATTCCATTAGGCCATTGAATGTCTATAGTCACCAGTGGCCGTCTGTCAAGTCCATTCATGCCTGCTTTTTCTATTTTAGCTGGTTCTCCCCAGTCTGACCAGTAAACAAAGCTGTAAAGAAAATGTTAACCATAAATATCACTGGTTTAGTAAGCAGAATTTATGGTACCAAGCCTATAAAGTATCAGCTAACAGTTTCATATATTATAAGTTAGATTAATTCTTAAAAAGTTGGTTGCTTAATTTCAGTGAATTATTCTCTATTTACTTAATATGATTGGAGACACATTTATATTATATATTTGGGCATCTAAGACACAATGAAATATAAAATAATTTTCAAAAATTATAAATGGTTAACATTAATCACCTAGATACTAAGACCCATCAGGGTTAGATACAAGGAAGATATATGCTAAGTGTAATCTTTCAGAGCACGTATTCCCTTTGAAAAACACCTAAATATCATGTAGACACTCCTTCCCCAATTGGTTGCTCATTTTAAGAGGGGAAAAAAAACCTGGGTTAAGATGTCATCAGCTTTGTGACCCCCTGAGAAAGACTTCTTTGGCTCTTTTTCTTTTTTTTGTGGGCAGAAGCTGATCAATGGGAAGGGGCAAAATCACATACCATGAAGGTGGCTTGCCATTTGTTTCAACAAGGATGGATATTAAGCCTAAGGAGAAAGAATTCTAACTCCAAGAACTCTTTAGATCGAAAGTTATACAGGTGAATAATTATACATTATTAATGCTACAAAATACCAAATCCTCAAACTTCTATGGGAAATTATCTTAAGAGTTTATATTCTACTATTATCATAAGACTTATGCTGTCACTTTCAGTTTACATATGAAGCAAGGATGGGTCATTAATGGGTCATGATAAATCAGTCATCTTTCACCTATGAGATATGTGCTAGGGATAAATTTCATGCTTTCAAAGGCTGAATTATGAAGTATAAGAGGTACTTAAACTGGGAATTATGGCTGAACTTCAGTTGCTGGGAATAAGTAGGAGACATTTTTAACATCTTTTAATGAAAGGAACCATAGAGCAATATGTGGTTGAAATCATGGTTTTAAAACTAAGTTGTCTATGGGTACCTGAAGTGAACCACTTATAAAGAATTAATAGCACCAACTTAGCCTTGTTATAGCAAATTCGAGTCAAGAGTCATGGCATATTTCCAGCCACCATTACCAGCTTAGTCCAGTGCCTTTCCTGAGTTATCTTTGAATATATTGTAGGTATTTGCTATTAAACTTGTTGAGAACCAACGGATTGTGAGCTACATAGGCCCATATATAGAGAACCATGAAGCTGCTGGTTGTCACCGTACTTTAGTTTTATACTATAGCTTCCAGGTAACTTAACAAAGATGCCTAGAAACTAACCCAGACAACGGGTCCACAGCTATGGAGGCAGGCTCTCGTAAATCAGAATTAAATAGGATCTTCCTCTTGGTTCCATCTAAAGTAGCCACTGAAATAGTCTTTGAAGCCACATCAGTCCAGTAGATATTCTTGTAGACCCAGTCAACAGCAATGGCTGCAGGATTATAGACATTGTCGATCATTTTAACATGTCTACCAACTTTGTCACGAGCATCAATTGGGGCACTGAAACAGAACAGGGTCACATGAGATTTGAGAATTTGATAGGACATTTATGCCTTCAGATGGCTAAAACTTCATAAAATAGCAGGTAGTATTACTATTCCTTTGTCTGAATGACTAGATTACCATGTTGTAGTTTAGATTTTGGCATCAGAACATCTGTTGCTAGAAGCAAACTAGTTCATTGACAAGCCATCTATGACTTTCATTGGTAAGAATTTGAATCAAATTTTATGATGCAAATTTCAGATAATGGCTGAAAAGAAATTATTGGAAAACTTGACATCATAAATAAAAGAAATCATAGTACTGTTATTGCTGTATACTTTTAGAGTGGTTAGTGAGGGTAAGGAATATAAGTTAGCTTGGTGTTCTGACCCTTATTGGTGTGCCAGGAGGGAAATGCATGCATGCTTTTAAGTGTAATCTACATTATTAATATTTTCTCTATCACTTTAAGTCTGGACAATCAACAAAAAATTTATCAAGCCCTGACTTGTAGCATTTGCCAATTTCTGAGGTATAAATGTTCACACTGAAAACTTTACTTTTAGCTCTCACTAGCCATTTTGAGCTAGTTCCAGCACATTTCTGCTTATTGGTCATTTTACACTATTTATCTTCCCTGATCCTATTCTTTGCAACCAAAGTTGGATCCTGATTTATAACCAAACATCATACAACATCATATGAATGCTAAGAAGTTTTAAAACCAACATTTTCACTTGGAGTTATCTTACCAACAATTCCAACAGTGATAGAACAACCCAGTTATTCCAAGATGGCCAAATGACCCACAGGGCAAGTTACCTGAAGATTGCTTTTTGGCTTAGATCAGCCCAAAATAACTTCTGGGCGGCTATGTCAGCATCTAGTGCTATGGTATTTCTTAGTTGCTCTACAAGTTGAATATATTCTTTCCTTTCCAGGCCAATTTTTCTGATGTCCCTTCGATTAGTGAAGATTAAGCTTGGTTCCTTTCCTGAAAGCAGAAAGTTAGGCTTTAGCCTTACAATTAGAATCTCTTTCCCACTGGGCATTACTAAGCCAAAATATAATTGAAGACCTTAAATATCACCTTTTACTTCAGTCCAGTCTTCAGTTCTGATTATTTCCTATTTTATTTATTTTAAGAACACAAGCACTTATGGTTTTCCCATTTGAATGGAATAGAAAGAATGTCAACTAATCAAGAACAAACCTTTAATTCTTCCTTTGAACTGAATCAGGACTCACATCAACAAAAGCAAACACAAAAAGATACCTGGAAGAGGAATGACTGTTAAGGCTTCTTTGGAAATAGCCCACCATATTTGTATATGATGGAAACATTTTCATGAGTTGCCATGGCAAAAAATAAACAACCAAAAAAACAAACCCAAAACAAACAAAAAGCCCAACAAACCATGTTCTCCGGCTTACTGTTAAGAAAATTCTACATACCATTCTATAAACCTTTCCAGGTTACTGAAATGTGATGAAGTTTATACTTTGCTGGCTTAGCCGGGAAGAATTCAGGGTCCGCTCCATGCCATGATGGAAATGTCATGCTATTTTTATAGTAGAACCTTTATTTATGACCCTCATTTGATGCTACTTACTGCTTTCAAATAAGATTGCAGTCAAAGCAAAATGTCAAGCTAAAACTTATATACTAATTGTACCTTTTGTAAGCCACTTGCCTACAAAGATAATCTATATTAAAACACTATTTGAATTTCATTTACCTACTGCCTTGCATACTCCTGTGGCAAGATCCATTTGATAGCCACGACTACATTCACACTTGTAACCGCCTTTTAAGTTGATACAAATTTGACTGCAGATTCCAGGATTTTGGCATTCATCAATATCTAGGAGGGAAATTTAGAATTAGTCTTGCTGTTTCTACTCCTTACTAGTTATACCTTGTCTTTTCCCCTTTTAAGTCCCTTGCAAAGACAGATTTTTGGAATCTTACCACCACAAGTCTTCCTGTCTATCAGTTCAAACCCAGCAGCGCAGTCACATTCATAACCTATAATCAGGTCTTTGCAGATGTGGGAGCATCCACCATTATTAACCAAGCATTCATTTACATCTGGAGGGAAAAACAAACAAGAATTTGGGCTATACCTTTTTATTATTGTTCAGTTAACGCTAGGCAGTTATTTTAATTAAGACGTTAATTGTCTTAATGATCAATCTGAATTTCTTTATGCAAGTATTTAAGTGTTTGCTTCCAGAGAACCATTTGAGATTTTAAGTACCTTAAGGGAAGGTTTTTTTTTTTAAGTAAGTTTACTGGGGGTGTGGCTAGAGATAAGATGTGTACAAGTTAGAATATGAAAGTGCTACAAGTAAAAATGGTATGGGTATTTAGAAGGATAGAAGTCTTCATTTCTCCCTGTGATTTGCCCCTACAATTACATCTTATTTTACAGGAATATGTATTTCTTTAATGAAAGATTGTGTCCTCAGGTGCACTATAGCAATTAGCGACAGCCAAGAGGTATTTCTAGCAAAGGGAGAATGGGAGGGGAAAGGAGAAGAAACCAGAAACTTGATCCCTGCTTTACATAAGATCCATGAAAACCATCTGTTGCCTAACATAACCAAGAATCTGCTAACCTAGTTCATAAGTGGTATTTTTTACCAGACACTAGGGAAAGTAGGTTTCTGAGCCAAACAGCAGCAATAAAAGTAAATTGTTATAAAATCCCCCCTGAGATATTGCAGGAAGACTTGCTCCATCAAAACTAATCACCTTTAAAGTTTCTCTGCACTTTGATCTAGCTCCTAAAACACTTTCACTTACTGCATTCCTTTAAGGGTTCATCACTCCAATCCTTGCAATCTTGTTGCTGGTTGCACACTTTGCTGATGTCTATGCATTCCCCACTTCTGCACTTGAATTTTCCAGGTCCAGAACACTGATTGGCTATATATGATCCAGAGTACAGACAGAAGAGAACATCCATTAGAAGAGCCCTGTGCCCATTTCAACTAGCTGTGAGAAAGCATGATGATGCTTACCATTTTTGCAGTTGATTTCATCTGTGCCATCTATACAGTCTCTGACCCCATTGCACTGTCTGCTGCCATGGATACAGTTGCCATCTTCACATTCAAACTGGTCAGGCCGGCATGTTCGAGAAGCTAGGGAAAAGGAAAGAAATGCCTCTAGATGACAAACTATCCCACCAGGTTAGCTAGTAAAGGGGGCCTCATCAACTCTGGTTTTAAGGTGGACATGCTGAGAGCTGAGACAACAAAGAAACTACTCACGACAGTTTATCTCATCACTTCCATCTTTGCAGTCAGGGTCCCCATCACAGCGCCATTTCATATGGATACACTCCCCTGAACCACACTGAATCTCACTGGCTGGGCATTTTTCATGAGGCACAGGCTGGCGTCCACACTGCTCCAGGGACTCATCAGACTGGTCAGTGCAATCTGCATCATCATCACATACCCAGCTGATGGGAATACAGGAAGAAGTGCTGCACTGGAACTCATGCGCACCACATGTAGGGGGAGCACAGTCCAACTCATCACTACCATCATTACAATCATCCTGACCATTGCAGACAAAGTTTTTAGAGATGCAGCGACCACTGGAACAAGTGAATTCTTCTGGACTACAAGTTACATTGCCTAAGAGAAAAATAGAATGATCCCAAATCAACATTTAAATGACTTTATTATCCCCCCAAAGTTACAAACATCAAGATCTACACTCATATCAGAATTCAAAAGCTAGAATAATTTGTATTTATGTTTATAACTATAAGTGATATTCACAGTTAAGTTTCTATAGTACTAGTCAATAAGGATAAATGTTAGGAAAGCTTCTAGGAATATAGATGAAATGAGAAAAGAACTGAGGAAAGATGGAAGGACATAGACCTGTTCTCTTCAGAATAAACCCATGTATTATTGTGAGCTGCCATTTTCTTTCCAAGATAAGGAAAGCATTAAGTTGTTAGAATTTAGAGGTTTAACAATGACAGGTTTACCTCTGTGGTTAGGTCTTCTCTTCATAGTCAGCTCCTTATATAACCATGAATGCCATGCGCCTGTAGTACCATGTTATTAAAAAAAAAAGTTTCTCTAAAATAACTCACACCCATAAGATTGGGGAGTTACAAGAAACAGGCACACTAATTCACTATTGGGGGAACTGTGAATTATTCTAGCCATTGTGGAAAACAACTTGGGACTATGCCCCAAAGTCACTAACTGGTCATACCCTTTGACCCCCTCAATAATATTACTAGGTCTATATCCAGAATTATCAAAGAAAGAGTAAAAGACCCCCCAATTTACAAAAATATTTATAGCAGCTCTTTGTCAAAGCAAAGAACTGGAAACTAATGGGGTACCCAGCATTTAGGTAATGGAAGAACAAACTATAGCATATGAATGTAATGGAATATTATTGTGCTATAAGAAATGACAAAATGGATGGTTTCAGAGAAACCAGAGGAGGTTGAAGTGTGGAGAAAAATTTGTATAACATAATAAATAAAAAACAACCTTGAAAACCTAAAGAATTCTGATCAACTACAAATCTAGGGAACTGCCCAACTCAACGAAATGAGACATATTATTTTTGGACATGGTCAATGCAGGCATTTTCTCTTTTTGACTATGCATATTTCATATGAAGGTTATCTTTTTTGTTTCATTTGGAGGAATGAAAGAAAATAAATGTTTAATTAAAAAAATGATAATATTAAAAATAAATTTATCTGCATAGTGGTATAACTTTTAGAGTTGGATAGAAATAATGTGTCAGACACGACATTCAAACTTGTGTGATTGGGGCAAGTCACCTCACTGGGCCTCAGTTTCCTATAAAATGAATGGGTTAGGCAAGATGGCCTCTGAGGTCCCTTCCAGCTCTTTATGAATCTAAATTCAAAGAGCGCTGGAATTAAGAGTGAGAGATGGTTTAGAGTTTCAGCACTGATGTTTATTATTTACGCAAAGAGGTGTGCCATCTTCTAGCAAACAAGAATACTTATGCTACTGCAGCATGGGGATATTGAGAATAGAGAAAGACTCCGAAGACTGAAATGTTATACAAATGTGAGCTCTTTGGCCAATCTCTTCTTTAATGGAGGAGAAAGTAGAGCATGGATGATGACTTACATTCCCTTCCTAATCTCTCAATTTTATTATTAGACCAGGAAGTAACTAATGTATAAAACTCTCAAATTCTAGAAAGTCGACATTAGCAGAATCTATTATAAGCCTAGGCCAAAAAAAAAAAAAAAAGAGCATGTTAATCCTGCTTATAAGACCAGTTCATTTTGCAAGAACTTAAAAATGTGAGTGGTTATAGGTTACAGCTTTATATAGTTATAAGAAATAGGGTGGAAACCACTGCTCCCTTGGGAAGCAAAGTCCATTTTTTCCAAAAGGGAAACTTCTGGCAGCTATATGGCTTTCCAACATAAGTTCAGAATGAAACATTAAACTTGACTCCAGGAATGAATTGGAGAAGAAACTCATTGGACCAGGTGCAGTTGCTTTAACCCCAGAAGCCTTCATACATATTTTTTTTTTTTAAAGATTGGTATTCCTATTACTAATTCCCAGGGTTTATCTACAGCCAGAATCAAAAGGTCTCTTAGATTTGTTATATAATTGAAGAGCTTAGGATCCTACTTAAAAGGGGAATCTGAGTTGACTAAGACAATGTTCATTCAACCTAATGCTTCCTTCATAGCCTCACCTTTAACATATAGCAGGTTACTACACATTTTCGGAGGCAGAAGGGTGAAAGAGGAAGAGAAGCTAGACAAACGAGTGAGAACACAGGAAAGGGAACCTGAAGAGGTGGTGGCCAGGGGCCTGGAAGAGAAGACACTATTAAAGTTTGCTTTGGTCACCTGCATCAAGGAAACAGGTTTACCACCATACTCTGTGCCAGGCAAGCAAGAGAGAAGTCAGAGACTGAGATTTTCCTTGAAAAGGACAAACTAGGGCCAAGTTGGCAAATTTTAGTAGTCACAGGTTCAAAGAGGGGGAAATTTTCATATTTGGAATAGGAAAGAAATTTTGGTTCTTCAGCCCCCAATTCTGGCTTGATCAGGTTTGGATCAGGAGTGCACAGGTGTTACCATAGTTTAGGCAAGGAAGTTTTCATTTCCAACTAGGTAGTAGGCTACCTCAGATCTATTTCTTTACCTCCTTCTCTGACCCTAGGAGAATTGGGGATGTATTAGTTGATAGATCAAGGAACATTCTTAATAATAATAAAAAAGAGCTTTTAGCAAGGGGCTGTTAAAATTGCTAATCAGAAAATTTTAGTTCTTATTCTTACACCAACAGAGCAAGTCACTGAAGTGAGTCAAGCTGTTTCAGTCACAGCTTTTTGTCCCTTCAGCAAAGAATCCTTAGGATAAGCCATTCAACGGATTCAATACTTGTATCTTCTTACCACAGTTTTCTTCATCTTCTCCACTGTCACAGTCGTTTTCACCATCACACTTCCAGGACACTGGGATACATTGGGTTGATCGAACACCACAGCTGATCTCATTTATTCGGCAGGTTCTCATATCTGTTGAGGACACATAGTCTCAAAGGAACCTCAGAACTGTGATAAGTGATACAAGATGCTGAGGAAGATTACTCTGAGTTGCTTGGTACTGGTGATGTTCACAATTCCGCCATCAAAAAGGCACACTTATGAAATTGACTGTTCCATCTGAGGTCTTGGTATCTATTTCCAGTGCTACTCCTTGGGACCCTGATACATTTGGTGGCCAAGACCAAAAGGCTTACTTCAAACCCTTGAAGTAATGTCTAGGTGACTCAAATTACTGGTTTCCTGTTATTTCCTTGCCTCACTTGGCAGTAGTGTGATATAGTAGAGATTACTAAATTTAGGGTTAGAATTTGGGTTCTAATTGCAGCTGTGCTTCCTATTATAAGACCTTGGGCAAGTCATTTTCCCTCATTCTTCACCTAAGTAGATGAGGAATAAAGTACTTTATAGTTCTAAAATAAACAACAATAGTAATAACTAGCATTTATATAGCACTTGAAGGTTTATAAAGTGCTTTACAAATTTCATTTCATTTAATCTTCACAACCTTAAGGGATGGGTGATGTTATTATTCCCATTTTACAGATGAAGAAATTAAGGCAGGTAGAACCAAATATATGCTATATCCTATATCAGTGTTCTTTGTTATGTCCATTTCTTATAAGTCTCCAGAATCCCTTTTGCATTCTGACCTTTTACCCATTTACTCCAAAATTTCTCTAGGGAAATTCTTCAGACTAATTCCAATTTTTCCTACCTTTCCATATAAAGAATTATGATTTTCCTTTTAGAAACATTGCCCTTCTATAAAATTGGGGAAGAAAAGAGAAGACTCATTTTTTAATTCCTGACAGCACTTGGTCAAATTTCAACTGTTAGCATATTTTGTGAAAGGTACTCTCTGAACCAATAGAAAGGAATAACATTGTGTATTCTAAAATCATTCTAGATTGTGCATTGCAATTGGAATGAATAGATTTTGTTCAACTGAGTTTGTTTCCAGAACATAGTGTATGGAAAGAGTGGAAGGTGAACCAGGATTTAAAAATTAACAAATAATTCACAGTAAGTCAATTGTTGTATATTTGAAAGTGACAACTCATATCATTAAGACTTGTTAATTAATTAATTGTTAATAAATTAATTTTATTTCTGTGTTTTTCTGTCCCTGCCAAATAATTTAAATACCATTTTAATTATGGACCTTTCATTAAAGTGAAATATTAGACCTAGAGCTGTTCCTATTATTAATTTATATATATGTACATATATAATATTTGTACGTTTACCTTTAGCTATACTATTTTAGGTTTCACTCATTTGCAAGTTGTCTTGCAAGTCTTGTTTCCTCATCTGGAGGGATACTTATAAAGACAAGGAACATTGGTCCTCATTTTCTTTTGTATATATTTTTAAGGAATGCCTACTTCTTCACTTTGTCCACTGTGGGATTTGGAATGTTGAAAGCTTTCAGGATTAAGTACCATTTCTATAGAGTAATCATGATCAAGAACATGTGGGCAATTTATGCACCTAGTCAATGAGTTTTCAATAGGCTCAATGGGCTTGAGGCAGTAATAGGAATGCTCAATACTACATATAACCACTCAAGAGAACTTTAGTTTAGCCAGAGGCTCACAAATTGAAATGGGGGGAAATATCAGCAAATTACTTATACTGAAATTAGTCAGTGACCTATGTCAGTAACTGCTTCCTGGAAAATGAAGATCCTTAAGATATTATAAGTTGGGGTTGGTTTGTGAAAGAGAGGGAGCAAAGATTAACGTCAAACATTGAATCTCAGAAGCAATACTTAACTCTACCATGACAAAGTAGAAAGAACTTTTCTAGTTGATGCAGTCACTGAGTTGAAAGTACACCACACGATGGAAGTCATCTTCCCAGCGTTGGAAGAAACTTCAGAGGCCATCTAATTAACCCATACCTGACTGAAGTTTCCTTTAACATTCCCATTAAGGTCATCCATCCTTTGCTTGGAAGCCTTCAACAAGATAGAGCCCTTTACTTTCTGAGGCAATTCATTCCATTTTTTTTCTATTATGGCTAGGATTTTCAAGGAAGTTTTTCCTTATAGCCAGCCAAAAAGATATCTCTGCATTATTTCTAGTTCTGCCTTCTTAGTGCAAATGAAACAAGCCTATTCCCTCTTATGTGACAGCCTTTCAAGTACTTGAAGAGAACTATGAAGTACCCCCTTAATCTTCGTTTATAAGCTCCAAATAGTACCCCCCCCCAAGAACATTGTCACCTTGGCAAGTTAGCCAACAAAGTAGCAACACTTACTGCATTGTTCTGGCCTTTCATCAGATCCATCTTCACAGTCTGGGTCCCCATCACACTGCCATCTGTTCGGTACACACTGGCCATTATTGCATACGAAGTCAGACTCAGCACATGTCTTCTTCACTATAAATAAAATTTTTATTATCAGTTACAAGGTTAGTATCAAACTTATCCAATAGTCCATTTGTTTGCCAGAGTACAAATGGCCTCTCTGGAAAACTATATTTTAGTCTCTTTAATGCTGAGGTTTCCAAGTCAGCCAAATGAATCCTTAACTGTGGCTGCATGTTGTTCTAAACTGGTAGGTGCCAATATCCAGGGGCCACTCTTATCTTTGGGTATAGCAGGTGTTATTCCTAACAATGTTTGGTTCTGTGGAAAATTGCCACATGAAGACATTGGAAACTGAACCTCACCAGAATGGGAAAGGAGAGAAAACATCCCTAGTGAGGCTCTAATGTAAGAGATCATCCTATGAGTTGGGGAATTAGAACATCCATTGCTAAAAAAAAATCAATTCATAATTGGTCATGATTCATCCCAAGATATTATAGTACAGCAAATTGTATAAGTTGAGTTTTTTTTCATAAAGGGAGATCTAGAGAGCAAGGAAAATCTCCAAGATGAATGGGTGACCACAGCAGATGAGGCAACATAGTCAAGGCTAAAAGCTACTCCCACATTTTCTTATGTGAAATAGATTGCGTATCTTTAGATTTAAACACAAGGACCTTACCTAATTTGCTCCAAATCATAATTTGACCCAAAAAAGGAAGAATAATCCCAATGTTTTGACTGACATTTCCCAAACACCCCAAGTACATTTCTCTAAAAGAGCCAAGCCTAAGAGAATAATTGTGACCAATATTCTACTTCTGTAGTTGAATGATTCTTAAAAGGATGGCAATGTACTTTAATAGCTTGGTTGTATTAGACTTGAATTTATATTTTCTTATTGTTTTACCTATGATTTCAGTGTATTTAGTGATAGATACCACTTCTAATACAGATCAGCAAAGTCCTCTCACTTTCTAGTTTTTTGAAAACTGCTTAGAGAAGGAACGCTTCAAGATTATGTATAACTTGCCTATAGTCACAAAGTATGTATGATTGGCAGAATTTCAACCCGGGTCTTTGTGACTCCAAAGCCACCTCTCTATTATGTCATGCTGGCTTTTGCTTTCTGGTGAGAATTATTTTGTTTAATACATATTGCCCCAGTTTTAATTTTATTTTATAATCATGACTTTATCCAAATAGTTTCTAAAAACCTCTGGCTTCAGAAGCTAGATAAGGCAGTTAATACTATGAATTTTTTCCAGCTATTAACACCCTTTAGTGGAGCCAAGGAAAACAGATAATGGGACTTGTGGTTATTCTTCAATGAGAGCCTTTTCTTCCCTTGCCTCTCCCACCCTTAAGTCTAAATCCCCCCAGATTTCACTAGAGATAGAATTCTCATTAAACTTATCCTCTTCTTGCTAAGTTCTTCTTCTCTCAATACTACTAAAGTACTTTGTAACTGTCTGAGGGCACATGTGCACATACCACTACAGTATAAAGCGGACTCTTAACAGCCCTCCACCAACTTAATTCCTTCAGAGTTAAGTTTGAACTTGGTCAGAGAAGGAGCTCAAGTTTGAATAAAGTGAGTTCAGCTGGGGGAAAAGGACAATTATATACCACTTAGTACTTCCATGTCTAAATATCAAATGAAAGGTTTAGGAATACTATGGCCTAGGCACATAAGAGGAGTTAAACTGATCCTTGAATGATAGGATTTAGATGGTGAGAGAGGGAAGAGTCTTTTTTAGTCTGGTTTAACACAGTTTAAAAATGGTGGACCAAGTGCTTTATTTAGAATAGGAATGACCAAGTCTTTGATTTCACCAAAAGCTTTTAGCTGCTAAGGCGTATCTATGCTGACATTTAGACCAATTATTTTGTAGAGTTTGTGGGTGACAGTACCAAACAATTTATTTTTAAAATCAAAACTGCACTCTATTCTAGAAATTCTATTCTAATTCAATACTCAAACTTTGAGTTAAGAGGACATAAATATTGAAATTTTATCATTCAACTACATATGGGTTCTTCTAACCTATCTAAAGCCTGTCCCTCAATGTTAAGTGCTACCACCATAAGCTTTCCCATATAATTGACCCAAGGAAACCCTTCCTGAACTATAGATGGTCTAGGGAAGAAGACTTATTTTGGATTTTGACCAAACCTAGGCTTATATTATTCCTTTAGAGAGAGAAGACACATAGTAGATAAGCTCTCTGAATAGTAGTGGCATATCTACCATACTCTACCTACAGTAGTGCTGTGTAAATATAGAAAGGGTTCACATTATGTAAATTGAGCTGCTTAATAGATAAAACATTGTGTGTGCATTCTACACGGATGGACAAAGGAACTTCAGTTTTTCAGTTTAGGGTTGAATTGAGATCATTTATGGCTCTATCTCCATAAGAGTGAACAAAGTAAGCCAGTGACTGTCCCACAAGGGACAGTGACTTTTCTTTCAGATAATGTCCTGTTTCAGAACTAATAGAAGTTTAATTCTTTCAAGCCACAATATAATCAAACTGACAAATGAGAAGAAAAATTGCTCCAACATGGATTTCTTTGGATGGCAAGGAATTTTAAAAATTTCATATCACTGTCTAATTACCTGTGGCCAATTGGAGGTCATGTAGCAGACCTGTGAGTAGTCACCTCTCTGAAATGAAATATTAGAACTGGATTGATGTGCTTCCCCACCCCCATTTTCTAAATAAGGAGATTAAAGGATTTGTCAAGGTCATGCAAACCTATTCCAGATAGGGATAAGGATAATGTCAAGTGAATAATGTGGCTGTGGAACATTACCTTGGATCATATTGGTTATGGGAGATACTAGTAACAGGGGATAAACAGAAGGAAGATTAGAGTAGTCTTCTCTATTCTCTCCCCGAACCCATCCAGTAATGATCTTTCCCTCCTCAGAACTCAATATTTCTTATAAGAATTGTAATAGTAGAATAAGAATAACATGAACTGAGTATTAAAAGAGCTGAGACCATCATACCCAATCTTTCTCCCAGCAAGGAGTATTGAACATAGATGATGAATATTTGTTAAAATTTGAAAAATTGCTATTTCTCATTCCATTTTATATACTTCTAATTCATTACCTTCCTCTATTTTTTGAAACCAAATTATAAGTATGCTTACAGCAGTCAAAAGATAAAAGTTAGGGATTCTGGAGGGTCTCCCATCTCACAAAGGAAGTGGCTATAAAATCTGGCTTTGCTCAAGGAATGAGACCTGTTACCAAGGGAGATTATGATGACAGAATATGCTTCTTTAAGTTAGCACTTAAAAAAAAACTTTCTAGGGATTTAGGGATTCATAGAAGTCTGAGGACTTCTAGGGATTGAGAGAAGTTTGAAGACTAGCCTAATGAGACTGTAGCTTCTTCATAATAGAACAGTACAGTGAAAAGAACACCAGTGTTGGAGCAGAGAATCTGGGTTAAAATTCTGTCTCTGACACTACTTGTGTGACCTTGAATAAGTCACCTAAAACCTCTCTAGGCTTCAGTTTCCTCATTTGTAAAACGAGTTCAACTAGTCGGCTTCTAAATCTATAATCTATGGTTCTCTTCTGACTCTACTCAGAGCCTATGGGTTAGACATATTATTACACTGATTTGCCACTGGCTCCTACCAAAGCAAATAGAAGTCATAATCTGGACTAGAGTGTTTCCCTGAACAAATTTCCTATAATAGACATTTGTAAACTATAGTATTAATATAAAGTTAGGGAGAAAGGGTAGAAGCATATAGAACTTTTTTTTTTTGTTTGAGAGGAGTCATGTCCTTCAATTTTTATCAAAAGGTCTATTTTATTTTTTATCTCCTTATTCAAGATATGCTAGTTCCAACTGATTTTAGGATGACTTCTAGGAGACTTATTTATCTACCATCAATAATTCTAGGAGTTGTTTATTTGTTTATTTATTTAATATAGATTTGAAGCTCAAGCCAAGTCCCAAAAGAGCTTTATCTAATAGCTTTAGTGATTTTTATAGAAACATAAGTCAGGACATGATTTTTCCTCAAAATATCGAGTTTCAGTGATTTGACAAGGGGGAAAAGCATTTAGCAGGTTCTGAAGGTACTTACCACATGAACTCTCATCACTGCCATCGCTACAGTCTTCTTCACCATCACACTTCCACAACAAAGTAATACAGCGGCCATTGCTGCACTGGAATTGAGATGACTCACATTTTGTTCTTGTCCCTAAGGTTAGAAAGACCTTAGCTAAATCAGTATTTTTGAAAATGAAGATAAGAAAAGACAGCTTGTTACCTTGAAACTAGAGATGCAGGCTACCCCAAGTTCTTAGAGAAGGGCATTATGGTGCCATTAGACTTATTTAGGAGTACCCCATCTTCAAGTACCCAGAGTGGATCTATCAAGTGCTACTTCTTAGCTACTACTTTGGAAAATGAGCACCCTTCAAGCCCTTCGTCTGAACTCTCTCTGTTCCTTCTTTGAAGTCCCTTAGGTCATATCATTGTCATCAGGCATTTCCCTCAGTCTTACTGCCTTATCCCATCAGTTGATATGTTACTGTTTCTACAATATCTTTTGCACCTGATTCTTTCTCTCTCAACCCCCATGGCTACCACTCTAGTTCACATCTCATTACCTCTTGTCTGGGTTCCTATAAAGCCATCTAATCTGTTTCCCTGAGTCTTAGTCTCTCTTTTCCAATTCACCTTTCACACAGCTGCTAGTCTGATCCTGGTGCTACTCTGCTCAAGAAACTTCAGTGGACTTCTACTATCTCTAAGACAAAATGCAACTTCCTAATAAGCATGACATTTAAAGCCCTTTCAATTTGGGCTCCAGCCTCTCTTTCTAGAAATGTTTCATATAATAACCTCTTACAGAGACAGCCAGACTGCATTTCATAATTCCTTATACTGTTGTACAAGTATTCCCCTGTGCTTGTAACACTTTCTCTTCACCTTTACTACCAGAAATTCTTAGCTTCCATCAAGGCTTAACCCAGGTGCCACCTCTGCCTTTTCCATTTTCCCTAGTTGTTAGTGTTGTCTCCAATGGTATGCTGGTCAATGTCTAACAAACAGCTCTGTGGGAGGTTGGGGGTGGGGTGGGAACCAACTCTGCATGCATGACACTTTTAAGTTTATTCTGCATATTTAACACATTCTCTATCACTTAAGTCTTCACAGTAAAAACAAAACAGTAAATCAAGCCCTGATTTGTAGCATTTACCAATTTCTGAAGTATAAATGCTCACACTGAAAATTTAACAATTGGCCTCCAGAGCCCATTAGAGATATTTCTAGCACACTTTGGCTTTTTCCCACCTCAGATTATTTTATACTTATCTTTATCAATCAATGAACATTAAGTGCCTGTTAGAGACCAGACACTGTGCCAAGCGCTGGAGATACAAAAAGCAGTCTCTGCCCTCAAGGAGCTTACAATCTAATGGGAGAGACACCATGCAAACAAAAATACACAAAGCAATCTACATACAGGATAAATAGGAAATAACAGAGGGAAGGCACTAGAATTAAAGTTGGGAAAAGTTCCTTGTTGAAGAATGGATTTTAGTTGAGACCTAAAGGAATCCGGAGAAGTCAGCAGACAGAGTTGAGGAGGAAGAACATTCCAGCCATGGGAGACAAGTCAGAGAAAACCCTCTGAGCCAAGAGACGGAGTGTCTTTCTAGTGGAATGACCAGGAAGCCAGTATCACTGAGGAATAAGATGTAAGAAGACTGAAAAGATAGGAGAAAGCTAGGTTACGAAAGACTCTGAATGCCGAACAGAGCATTTTATATCTGAACCTGGAGGCTAACAAAATCAGAGAATCACTTCAGTGGCTGAACGGAGGGAGAATGCACTGGAGTGGGGAGAGACTTGAAATGGGCAGATCAACCAGCAGATACTGCAATAGTCCAGGTATGAGGTAATGAAGTCCTGCTTTAGAGTGGTGGCAACGTCAGAGGAGTGATGGAGGCTTATGACAATGATGATGATATAATTATTATAACATATGTTGCAAAGGTGGAAGACAGGCTTTGGTAACAGATTAGATTTGAAAGGTGAGACATAGCAAGGAGTCAAGAATAAGTCCTAGATTTTAAGCCTGAGGGATTGGAAAGACGGTGTTGTCCTCTATAGTTACAGGAAAGGTAGGATGGGAGAATGGTTTAGGGAAAAAGATAATGAGTTCAGTTTTAGACATGTTGAGTTTAAGATGTCTACTGGACAACCAGTTTGAGATGTCTCAAAGGCAGTTGGAGATACAAGATTGGAAGTCAGCAAAGAGATTATCTGGCTACACGATATAAATTTCTGGGGAACAGGGACTATTTTTCCTTTGGTTTCTCTATCCCCAAGTACCTTGTAGACCTTTAACTGAGATCAGAACTCTATAATCTGAAGTAGCTTAAATTTAAGCAAATGCTAATAATTTATTTGTACAATTCTTTAAAGCAGGGATTCTTAAACTTTCTCACATGTCATGACACACATTTGGCAGTCTGCAGAAGCCCATGTAACTCATTCTTAGAATGTTTTTAAATGGAAAAAAAATACATGGGATTACAAATGAAACCAATGAAAATGTAGGGTTTTTTTTTTTTTTTAACATTTTTAAGAAATTTCCAGACCCCAGGTTGAGGACCCCTGTTTTAAGTCTCATCAGTATTCTTCACAGTGTCCAGATAGGGTGGATAGTACAAGCATCCCTATCTTACAGTCAGTCAACTAGCATTTACTAAGCACCTTCAATGTGCCAGGGACTAAAACAAGCAATGGAGATACAAAGAAAGGCATGAGATGGTCCCTGTCCTCAAGTAGCTTAGAGTCTAAAGATTCCAAGATTTTGTAGATGAGAGAACTCTGGTAGCCTTGAAGTGACTTATTGCCCAAGGTCTCAGAGATGACAAGTAGAAGTACTAGCTTAGGTTTATCTAAATCCATCCACTACTTCACCATATCAGATTCTCCTCTTATTTTCCAAGATCTCATACTGAGGGCACAAATACAACGTATCAGCATTCACCTTTTGGCCTTAATATACAATTTAGCAAGTATTTGCTCACTTTCTACAGCTCTTTAGAAGTACTGGGGTTAGATGAGGTGGTTTATTTACTTGCAAGTCTAGTCATTGTGAAAGATTTTGAACCTGACAAAGTCCATCTAGATATCAGGACCATAATTTGACATGATCTATATCAGAGGTGTCAAACTCAAATAGAAAGAGACCTCCCTGCACTACGTAGTGACTTAGAATAGCACATGTTAACATTAGCCATGTTGTATTTTATTTTTATTTGATTAAACATTTCCAAATTACATTTTAAGCTGGTTCAGATGCCTTTAGGAATTTTGCAGCTGTGATTCGACAGCTCTGCTCTGTATCCAAGGAAGCCCTTCTTAAGGGATAGCTCCGTCTTTGCATGTCATTTGCAAATTTTGATGTTTTTGCCCTTAAACCTTCAGTTTACTTTTGGTAGTAAGTTACAGGAAGATAAAAGGCTTCCAAACAGAGCCTTCCCCCCCCCCCAAAGTCCAATCTGTAACTGGTAAGCAGCTGGGGTACATTTGTGAGAACAGATAGAACAGTGACAGACACACACTGTTACTTCCATTGATGCACCAATCAACAATAATTGGGATGCTGTTAGTAAAAGTTATGTACATTTCTCAACAACTGAGAGAATTTTTCTATTTGAGAACTTGGCATTTACAAGTTTGGCACATCTGAAATTCACAAGACTCTTTTCTTATAGGACAAGTCCATTGCTAGAAAGTTTTTCTAAACAAGTTTTTTTTTTTTAAATGAGATTTTTTTGGGTGGAGCCCAAGTCATTTCTGTTACACACTCTAAGGGTATCCCTTATAATAAAGCATAGTTTAGCGAAACTAGCCAATAGAGATTACACTTGCTAATACTACCAAATATTAACATTCTTTAACTGTAGTTCCCCTTCCTCTCAAACAAGAGGGAGAGATAGTTCATTCTGTCTTCTCTGGAACTGACATTGCTTACTATAATTACTTGTAGTTTTGGTTGCCTTTTAGAGTGGTGGTGGTTTTTTTTTTAAGGTTGTTAGTGTTCGTTCGCCTAGTTATGCTAATCCTGTTCCCTGTCAAATTGTAGGAGTTTTCTCATTCAAATGAGCATGTGAATACCTGTCAGGTTGAATCCTTGTGCTAAGTGCTCTGGGTTTAGGAGAAAAAGTAATATCAAGGAGTATCAATCCTTGACTTCAAGGGACTTAGTTTAATTTTTTTTTGGCTAGGCAATGGGGTTAAGTGACTTGCCCAGGGTCACAGAGCCAGTAAGTGTCAGGTTGTCTGAGGCCAGATTTGAACTCAGGTCCTCCTGACTCCAGGGCCAGCGCTCTTTCCACTATGCCACCCACCTGCTCCAAGGGGCTTAGTTTAGCTGAAGGGATTAGACAGAAATAACTATTCTACAAGATAATTTGTTAAACACTATAAGTATTATAGAGTGCTATAGGAGTTACTTCAAAATGCTACAGCTCATGATGGCCGTGCCTTTTCTCCCATATTAAAATGTGACAGAATTGTAGGACTTGTTCTAAATGTGGAAATCCAGCCCCTGAAGACCCTCTTCTTCCATCATCCCCAGTCTCCCCACCCAACCACACTTCTTTGTCTGTGTTCTTTCCAGGAACGCAGATGCTCCCTGGAGTCTCTGGGACCTTTCAGAGTCAGTTGAAGCATAGTACAATGTGCATTGCTGTTTTTCAAATGTGAACTTGTGCACTGATGTGTAAATTCAATGTTCTTGTTACAGACTGAATAAATGTTTATTTTGAAGATAAAAAAATTATTACATTAGCAGTAATGAATCTCCATTTCTATAGCAATTTGCTTGTGCAGGCTGTTAAATTCTTTCTCTAATATACAGTACTTTTATTTACTCCAAGTAGGGGAAAGAACACTGGCAGGCAAATCTGGAAATTCAAGTTTTAATATTAATTTGTCCTCAGATCCTTCATCAGAGAAAAAAGATTGACTAGAGCAGGTTTTGTGTCATGGACCCCCTAAAAGTCTGATGAAGCCTATGGCTCCACTTCAGTATAATGTTTTTAAAGGCCTAATATGAAATATATAGGATTACAAAGGCAACCAATTATGTTGAAATACAATTAACATTTTTCTTTAAGTTCATGGACTTCTGGTTAAGAAATCCTGAACTGGATCAATGGTTCTTTCTAGCTC